GACTACGCCTCAGGAACTTCCTACTTGAAACCAACATTTGCAGCAAGCTCAACCTACGCGTTCACACAGACTCCACAGCAGGCAAAAGCATAGCTACACGACAAGGCGCCAGCAAACGAGCAAAACACATCGACCTCAAATTTCTCTACACACAAGACCTCATCAAGCACGACATCATCAGAATTCTCAAAATCAACACACTTCACAACAGCTCAGACTTGTTCACAAAATACATCAGCAAAGAAACACTACAGAGGCTCATACAGAGCATTGGCATACGCGTTTAGCACTACGAACAACAACTGTTTTACATCAACCACAACAGTTTGTGCATGGCCATATGTAACTACTTGCATGTAAGTAACAGTAACAGTAACAGTAACAGTAACTACAAGTCACAGTAATTGTAACCACCAGTAATTTGCACTTGCGCGTTTGGCGGCTTTTGGCGGCTTGGGACAACATTACATGTTGTTGTGTTTTACTACATGCCCGCATGTGCTTTTGTGAGCTAACATTGGCTCACCACTGTCTGCCCCGTTTCACTGCATCTCGATAGGCCGAACTACCAGCAATGGCTGGAACTACGCCCATGGATGCGACTACGCTGAATGTCATGCCGATGGAGGTTACTACATCAGCTCCAGAGGCTACTCTGCCCGTGTCGAACAACAGGCTGGCATCACTACACCGGACCGTGTTTCCACACCACCAGATCGACAGAATACTACCGACTCCAGCAGCATGGCCACTTTGGCCACACCACCACCTGAGGCATACAACGCCCTCAACTACAACTTCAATCACCAACTACCCACACCTGCACCTTTCTACAGACCCGACGACATTTTGGCACATCTCACTACTGTTGAGAACAACATCCCTGACACTCCAGCGATCGACCCGGCACAGAACTACTTCAGGGTCTACGTGGCTTTGACGCTAGAGGAATTTCAACTACTCAGTCAACAACAAACTACGCCCATTCCCGGGCTCAACTACAACCTACCAATTCACGACCTTCCCTCAGACATTCGGATGCCAATTTACGACTCACTACCTCTTCACCTACGTCTTTCAGAGGCAGTCAACTTCTACTACTACAACCTGACATCACTACACCTCACAACCCAGTACATCAACTCGATGGTCATTGTCCAACTACACCTTCCACAAGAAGTTCTACTACGATTTGTCAGTGCTGGACAAGTCACTAACTTCTCCCGCGACTACGTGAGCCACATGATCTCCATCACCGACAAGCACCACCTTCCTACACGCTAACTACATCAACGACTACACCGAATCAACTACGATTTGGACCAAATCACCACTACATTCAACCTATCCAACAACTTCATTTGGAACTACCACATGCCCTTGTACCTACCCGAACTACTCAACTACTTCGACCAACCACAACAACTTCAAGACCACCACTACAAGTCCATCAACACGATTCTACACAAAAGTGCCACCTACTACGGCATCACCCTACGCACGGCTACGAATCTTTCCAAGCAACACAAACTACTACTCCACAACTTTCTCACTACAACCGGCCAAGCACTTGCACCACCGGAGTGCGACTACAACCGTCTCCGTGGCGGTCCAGACTTCCTCAACACATTCACTACCAACCACTATGCAGGCTTGGACTACCGCATCGGCCAAGTCCAGAACTACCGAGTCCACCACTGGACTAAGCACACCTGATCTACAGGTGGAACTACAACTACTTGCTGTACTACGTCATCGTACTACGAGATGACTGAGAGCCACTTAGGGTTCTTGTACTGCAACTTCACATTTGATCATTTGAAGGTTAGTTGAACTACAGACAGCGCTGTAGATACCTACCTTCGCTCATTTTTTAAGAGACTACATGCCTGTTCGCTACAGTAGCATCGGCAAACAACATGCGCTTTCGTTTTTGCCACTACTGTCAATACCACTTTTTGGGTCTATGGTTAAAAGGACACTACAAGGTCTTTTAACCAAGGGGCCGTGTCAAATATCATGCTGCACTACTTGTCCCTTGCGCATGCATGATGTACACTACCCGACCGCAGGCCTTGAGTCTACCAGGAAAAGAGTGCATGCTGGCTAACTACATTTGTGTTTGTGACAACATAAACAACACCTGCACTTGTAGTAAAGTATCGACGTATTTTAACGAGAGAGAGAGAGAGAGAGAGAGAGAGAGAGAGAGAGAGAGAGAGAGAGAGAGAGAGAGAGAGAGAGAGAGAGAGAGAGAGAGAGAGAGAGAGAGAGAGAGAGAGAGAGAGAGACAGAGACAGGGACAGAGCCAGAGTCAGAGAAAGAGAAAGAGACAGGTAGAGAGAGAGAAAGAGAGAGACAGAGAAAGAGAGACACAGAAAAACAAAGAGAGACAGAGAGCGAGAGAGCGAGAGAGCGAGAGAGCGAGAGAGAGAGAAAGAGAGGGAGAGAGAGAGAGAGAGAGAGAGAGAGAGAGAGAGAGAGAGAGAGCCAGACAAAGAGAGAGAGACAGAGAGAGAGAAGAGAGAGGGAGAGAGAGAGAGAGAAGGGGTACCCTTGTGCTGTAGAGGGGTGTGGACAGGGAGACAGAAAGAGACAGAGAAACATAGAGAGAGAGAGAGGGAGATTGAGGAGAGAGATGCTTGGGGGGATGGGGAGGATCGGGAGCGGAGGGAGGGAGAGAGGACAACAGAACACACAAGGGAGACAAGGGAGAGATGAAGAAGGAGAAAAGGGAGAGGACAGCGGAGTGAGCCGGAGGCTCTAAAGTTATGTTGTTAACACAAACAGTCAAACCTGTAGTCTGCACAGCTCCTGTTTTGCAGGGGCTCATGTAGTGATAAGCTCAAGGCCTGCGGTCATGCAAAGGCTATGTAGTACCACGCCACATGTGCATTGACATGTCTCTCTCTTCTCCCCTTCCGTCCCCCGTTTTCCTTCTGCCTTCCAGGACCTCGGCCGCCGGACCGCCCGGCCGCAACTGCCGCTCCCCGCGCTGCAGCGCCGTCGCCTCCAGCACCCGGACCTCAGACACACATCACGGCGCACCAGGGGCGCCACGAAGGCAGAAAGACGCACTACAGGAACACATTGGTGCCAGGCACTTCAGACGCGCATCAGGCACTTCGTGCCAGGGACTTTGTGACTCACTTCAATGACTCAAAGGTAGACTTGACACTTCCGACGCGCTCAGACACTATGCGCAGAGACAGTCGAAGAGACTTGACACTCCAGACGTCTCGACGGCAGACTTGACACGTTGGACGCCTCAGACACACTTAGCCGAACTACGGCACAGGCTTTGCGCTCTGCTATTTTTATCTCATGAAACCCGACACGAAGCGGGCGACCGGGATGCAGTGCACAGACGAGTCAGGGATCTAGCACGCAGCCGAGGCACCCCTTGCGATGCCAGGGATGCTATGATGATAATTGTCTGGGCGTAGCTAGGGAGACAGGCGAGGCTACGATGCCGCAGATCATCATCAAATATCGCTGCGACGTTCTTTTCATCGTCCTAATCATCATCAGCGTATGATCCTCAACATCCTGTGATCTTAGTGCTTCTATTCGCTGGTTTAGGTATATGCAACGTAATGTTACGGGTAATGTTAGGCAGTCCTAGTCGCGGTCGAAGAATGTGGTCCCTGTAAAGGACATGAGCGCCGCCTCATCTCAGGACACAAGGTGACCCAGGGAATGCCCTCGCCAATGCACTCGAGCGTTTGCTGCCACTCTTCAAAAAAAGGCCTTTCTGTAAACATGCTGTTAGGGGTCGGCACCGGGCGGCTTAAGTCCGGCCGGGCCGTGACTGGGCCGAAGGCCTAGCTCGGACACCTTCAGCACTGAAAGCATCATCACGAATGATGCGGATGATGCCGGGGAAGCTGGCGATGTCAAACGGAGGGGGAAAGGAAGGAAAAGGAGATGAAGGGAGATGAAGGGAAAGGGGAATGAAGGGAAATGAAGAGAAATTCAGGGAAGGGAAATGAAGGGAAATGAAGAGAAATATGGGAAAATGAAAAGAAATTGAAGGGAAATAATGGATGAAAATGATGGAAATCAGGGGAAATCGAGAAAATTATGGGAAGCTCGGAAGTGAGGGGACTGGAAAGAAACGGGTGCCCGGTGGCTGGCTGTGTCGCGTCAGCGTGTAAATCAAGATTTACTCGGAAGTATTTGCACCATTCTTGCAGGTGGCATGAAGTACTCGGCCTGTGCAGTAGGCCACCACAACTGCATTGCTTCTGGCCAGGTAAAACCTCGTATGAAGCCCTACCTTGTGAAAGATCAAAGCATCCCTCTGCCTCAAGCCACGTGGTCAAGTGCAGCAAAGCTGCACGCCGGCAACTCTCTCCCCCAAGAAGATACGAAGCGAAGCAAGCCTTGGCTTCAGGTTCAGCTGATGCAAAGATCATGCCGCAGAACCACAACCGCAGAGCACTCGCTAAGGGCCAAACCACTGCAACTCAGACTGGCAAACCCGCCAGATCTCTGCCCCAGCACCCTGGATCACACAAAAGGCCTCACAAAGACAGATCTTTTGGAGAGGCTTGCATGGGCTTGATGCAAGAACACAATTGGCTTGTCCCAGGCACGTCGTTGCCAATCATGATCAGCCCTCTCACACGTCGACCGCGAAAAGCACGTGGAAAGCACCACCTGACAAACTTGCAGGCACAAGGAAAGCCACGCGCGGAAAAGCACAGAGCCGCGCCGTGCCACGCTGACGCCATGCTGACGCCACGCTGACGCCATGCCGCGCCGAGTTGGACTCCACTCTGCCACTCGGCACAGCCTCCTCCGGGGGCGCAGGCAAAGCAGTGCGGGGGATCGCACACAGCCAGCGCCAGCCCGGCGCATTTCCAGCTGTCGAAAGACATTGGCTCGGTGGAAATTGGTCATAGCACAGGCGTGGCACAGTGCCACGCCTTCTTGAGCTGAAGACAGGGCCACGCAAGTCGTCAAGATTCATCAACTATCGCCCTGGCAAGGGCGGCCTTGGTGTTTGCCTTGAGCTGCTGGTTCTCCGCCTCGGCTCATGGAATCTTGGACTCAGCCATGGGCCGAATATGGTGCCAGCTACAGAAAAGTATGACCGTCGCACGCCAAAGCACATGCAGCCGGTCATACTCCTGCACGAGGTTCACAACCTCAGTATTCTATCTGCGCGTGTATGCACGACAACACGCTGTCCTCCTGCAGTCAAATGCTTGATGAACTAATCAGAAATCATGCATCATGCAGGTATGTGCATTGTTGCTCAAAGAGAAATGATGTGGCAGGGTGTGCACAGAATACCCAACAAGTTGCCTGTTTGAGTGTCACTTCCTTCTAGCATATAGCTGGTGTGCAGCGTCGTCAGTGCTCCTGGTCAGAATGTGAGAATATCAACAAAACGCACTTATACAACGCGGCTTTCAGCATTTGAATTGTCTCGCACAAAGAAAACAAGCAACGCAAGCATTGTCTGAGCAACATAACTGTGAGCAACTCATTCTGCAGGTGTCGCAAATGGAGCTCCATCATCAAGTCATCAAGTGGCAACATGCGCTAGTTGCACACAGGAATCAAACATCTCCTCTTAGCACTCAACACACTTCCTCCACTTCGGGCAACACGGCATTTCGTTGGTGGCCAAATGCTCTGACCTCATGTGTTCATCTGGCCTGCCAAAGGAAAGATTCCAAGAACTGTGTGCTGTGTGTGCTGTGTGTGCTGTGTGTGCTGTGTGTGCTGTGTGTGCTGTGTGTGCTGTGTGTGCTGTGTGTGCGCTGCCATCGCTTGGCCAGTCCCTCTCCAGCTGAGGCCTGAGCCTGGGTTAGAAACGGCTGCAGGTAACTCGAGGTCGACTGGCTTAACCTGAGAGAATTGGCATATGTTGAGAATTGGCAGTCTGCCAACATAGCACCTGCCTGGGTAGCTGAAAAGCCATCCGACGCCCGAAAATGGCTTTGCCTGGTGCTATGCTCGTTGTGCAAGTCTTGATGTGCCAAATATGCAGTTCGGATCGTTAGGATGCGGAATTGGCGCACATCAAACTGATCGCTCCAGCATGTGCAGTCTAATTTAGAAGTCTGCAGCGAAGCAATGTTGCGGAAGGCTTACACTCACAGTGACTTCTCTGCGCTCGCCATCAAAACACACAATTGAAGCAGGAAATCGCACTTTTGGTCTGGGGCGGACTGTCCGCGAAGGAGAAAATCTGCGAGATCCGGCGCGCCGTCAGGCCGTCAGGCCGAAAGGCCGTGAGGCCGTGAGGCTGTCAGGCCGCCTCGAAGACGATCTGCGGCTTCCCGGGCTGCGCCTTCGCCTCTCCGCGTTTTCCGATTTCCTCGGCCCCGGCCACGCGCAGCGCCACGCCCAGCTGCCGCTCGATCGCTGGCCGCAGCTCCGACAGCATCGCCGCCTGGCCCCGCAAAGCACAAAAAATAGGAAACGCGAGAAAACATAAACAGATAAAAAGACATGTAGCGTGAAAAAGCACGACGCGAAAAACGTAACGGGAGTGAAAGAGATGCCTCGTCAAAAGGCAGCTCCAACTCTAGTGCCTCGGCTCCCCTGGGCTTCACTTCCTGCGCCAAAGAACGGGACATCTGGGTTACGCTTGCAACTTGCACGGTTCGAAGTTCAAAGTGACCCTGCCTGCTTCATCATGTAGGAAGCAAACGGCATCGCCTGCTTCAGCTCTTGCTTGGAAAAGCGTTTTATGGTCTCCGCTTCGCGCAGGCGCCCCATGAAATTCTTGTCAACAGGCTCGTTGTTCTCATCAAGCTCAATCTTTTGCAGGACCTGCCAAAACTCAATGCTGCCTGGACTACGATTGCTGGCAAGGTGCCCGTCATGCAACTTGCACGATTTACCTGCCAACCCTTCCTCAATTCCGCTGAAACTTGTCTCGAAGGTTGTCACTTTTGCAGCAGCTTCCTTCGAGCCCTGCCTTCAGCACCTCGACTTGCCACGACTGGTACTGCTTGGCCACAAAGATAGTGGCATGTGTCGGGATAGCTGGCGGCTGCTTTGACTTCTTCTTAGGCGCCTTGAACTTTTCCAGTTGCAGCCTGAACGACCGCAGTGAGCTCTGAATCAGGACATATTGTCTGGCAAGAAAGGGGTCCACTGGTTTTTCCAGTGTGGGCCACGCTTGCTGCACTACCAAAGAGTTCCTTGCCAGGACATTCCGCCACAAGTGCTCGCAAAAGTGTGGCGCTATCGGAGACAGCGCAATGGTCTGTGTCTCCAGAAGACGCTGGATTACCTCAGCATGCACATCCCCATTGGCAAGGATGCTGTACTGTGATCTAAGGTTTTCCATGTCATACCAAACAGAGCGCAATGCATCGCTGAACATCATCTTGGAATAGGCCTCGCGAGCATTCTCCACACAAATGCTGATTTCGTTGTTGAAGATATTGTCAAGGAAAGTGAGCTCGCCGCGCCGCAGCTCGGGTAGCTTCTCCATGGTATCTTGAGCCCAGGCTTGCAGGTTCGTGAGGCGCAGAATGGACTTTCCACACGACTCGGTGGAGAAGTTCGCGTCTTGCAAACCGTCGCCGCTGTCTGCACAGGCAATGCGGGTTGCATCTGCTGAGTAGGTCGCAATAGCATCCTCCAGCGTGAGAAAGTTGCCTTTGGACTTAGACATCTTTTCAGCGTCAACCATCACATGACCGTTGCAGTAGAAAGCCTTGGGCCACATATTTGCGTCCTCCCACACTGCAGCATGGTTGAAGAGGCACATGGTCAAGTGATTTTGGATCAAGTCCTTTCCAGAGCATCTTAAGTCCACTGGATACCAATACTCGAACTCCTGCCTCATCTTCACCAACCGCTCTTTGGGAATGTGGGACTCGGGCATCGTCTCCGAGAGGCAAAACACGTAGTCCAAGACCTCCTCCGAAAGCTCGCTCGCATCCTCCACCAGGTGGGCCACGGTGTAGAAGGCCATGTAGATGGTGGAGTCGCTAAGGCTCTCGATGAGCCACTTCTCGTCCCAGGGCAGCTTGGTGCCCAAGCCGAAGGTCCTCAAGGCATCGAGTCGAAAAAGATAAACTCACGCGATATCCACAGCACCACAGCCCAGAATCCTCGCGGAACCCACGAACCCGCCCCGGGGCCCTCACATCGGGGCCCGACGCAAAGGAAAAAACGCAAAAAAACGGAGAGACCGGCTGACAGGTCCTGGAGCAGGCCCAGTCGCCGAGCCAGCCGACGGCATGGCTCAGGGCGTTGCCTGCGGCCTCGGTGTACGCCTCCAGGTCCTCCAGGTGCTTCTGGACGCGCCGAGTCCAGGCCGCGTCGCTGTACTTCAGGTACCACTGGTCGCACAGCGCCACGACGCACTCGTCGCCCGACCGCGCCAGCACCTGGCTCTCGGGCTCGAAGTATGGAACGGCCAAGCCTTGGTCCATCAAGTCCTGGCGGATCTGCGTCTTGATCTCAGACACCGGCTGGCCCTTGTAGGGACCCCGCTTCATCACGCCCGAGTAGAAGCCCTTCTGGTACACTTCCTTCTTGGCCGCTGCCAGCTTGTCCTTTTCGCGGTGCGATCCGATCTTCATCTTCTCACAAATCGCAGGCGCCGAGGGTTCGCCTTCGCCTTCGCCTTGAAAGGAGAGGATGTCAACCACATCGAAGGGCTGGCACCACTCCTCTTTCACACCATATTGCTCACGCCAGTTGGCGCGGCTTTGCCAGTCCCTGAGGCAAACATAGTCATCGGGAGCCTCCGCGGGAACGCTCGTGACGACCCCTGTGCCCTTGGACATGGAGATTGTAAACATGGGAAGGACGTAGATTGTGTCATAGAGACACAGCGGAGCATCCAAAGGCAGGCCAACCAAATCCTGTCCGGTCATTGTCATGAGGCAGGTGGGTTCTTGCTCCTCCTTGTCCATCAAGTCTTGGTAGAGCATGTTCAAAGCTGAGCGCTTGCTGCAAACAAAAATGCTGCCATCCCGCATGCGGAAGAAGCCGTACTCACCTTCTGGCAGAACAAAGCAATTTGTCTGTCCATACATGGTTTCTGGGCGAAGCGTCGCCGCCACAAGATAGACATCCCCGAGCTTCCCATCTTGCTTCAAGGTCTCAGACCAGGCCTCCGGAACCTCCTGGACACGGAGCTTAATGAGGGTGTACTCCTGCGGGTTCACTCCCTCCCCCTCGGCCCTGTCGTGATCTGCGCAGGGCTGCTGAGTGGTGATAGAGAAGATGGTCTGGCGCTTCCCGTTGGCCAAATACTTCGCCCTGAGCTTTTGAAAATGCCATCTTACAAAGGCATCAAAGCAGGGATTCAGATCCGTGGTGACAAAGGAACGGCGCCAGTCCACAGCTGCTCCGAAGCGCTTCAAATCCTGGACGGCCAGCGGGGGGAAGTACTCGAGCCAGTACTGGGGATTCGTGAACTTTGGAATCTCCTCCTCTGGGATCCCCAGCGCCACCATGATCTCGTACTGGTCGAGGCCACCGGTCTTTGCCAGGACTTTGGACTTCTTCGACTTGGCCTTGGACTCCTTCGCGTCACTTGACTCCTCCCCGTCTCCGCTTGCGCCGCTTGCTCCGCTGGCTCCGCTTGCGCCGCTTGCGTTTCGCTTTCGCTTGAGGCAGTCCCGGAGCTTCAGGGCCGCGGCGGCGATGGGCATCCCGGTGCCGTGGAAGCCGAAGGGGAACAGCACCTTCTTGCCGCAGAGCCGGGCAAACCTGGCGGCAAACTCTGCCTTCGTCAGAGAAAAGGCATGTCCCAGGTGCAGCTTTCCGTTCATGTAAGGGAAGGGAAAAGTCACAAAGTACTTCTCTTGAGACGTATCGTCAGCGTCCGCCTCAAATGCTTTCTCCTTCTCCCATAGCTGCTGCACCTCATCCTCAATGGCCAAAAGCTGGTCTCGCCTCGTCCAATCTGCCAGCATGCATGTGCGGAATCGTTGCCGTCGTTGCCGTGAACTGCGAGAGCGCGTGCTTCTCGGAAGGGCAACTCCACAAGCCAAACAGAGCAGCCTAGCCTTGCTCTCTCCTTTGCCTCTCTCCCTCCTTGGCTGTGAAACTGGATGGGAAGGTGAAGGCTCTGGTAGCCTGTACGGCGAAAAGACACTCGGGGAACTCCATAAAAGATCCATGGCAGCAACAATCTTGCCGCTGTCTCCACTTTAGCTTGATTCAGATTGTTCTTGCTCGGTGACGCGGTGTGCTGGCTTTGTGCTGACTTTTTATTTCTGGCAACGATCATGGGATGCACAGACTGGCTTCTCTTTGATTCTACGTCATGTGTTTGGCAGGAAACATTGACCGCTTTGATCCAGGAAGCTCATTCCATCTCATCGAGCGGCATTCTTTGTCACAATTTGAGCAAGGGAGGAAATGTGGGCAAGCAATGCACGCTCTCTTTGTGACATGTCGCAGGTGTTGAGGCTTTCCTCTGCGAATTTCGAAACTACGAGGATTACATATGAAAGACGATAAATACCCGCATGAATGCTAACAGCTATGCTGCCGCTTCTGCGCAGGATGCGCGCTTTGCTGACTATGTACTGAGAAGTGAGACAAGCAGGAGCATCAGGGGGCCCATCACAAAGTGACCTCAGAAGCGAATCGAGGTGCAATGCGCTACGGCTCCCCTGCTCAACACCTTTAAGACAACCTGATCTGAAAGTGCAGAAAGCAAACAGAGAAACAGAATCGGCGAGAGAGCCACGTGCCTCTTGGGTTCCGAGGCCAAGGCCGCGGGCATCATCCTTCGGGAGAAGCCCCGTTTCCGCAGTGTGAGAGCTCGGGTTAGAGCTTGAGGCGCCCATGGCACCGTTGGAGGCGTCCTCCGGAAATCTCCAGATACCAAGCCAAAGCAAAAGCTGAAGAAAAACCGAATTCCTATGCTCCGACACGCACCCTTATCTCGGCCTGCACCTCTTGTGCGTGCGCGTCAGCCTTGCCGTCCTCGCAGCATTTCATCACACACTTCTCGCCCAAAACTTGCAAGAAAGCTTCATCTGATTGCACGCTGCGCAATGGAAGTTTTTCGGAACAGATTTGTCGAAAGGTGGCACTGCTTCAGACACGCAGGGATGGGGGAAATGTCAGCTGGCAAGATAGCCATTTGTTATTCGAACCTTGAGATTGGTTGGAGCAGGTTTGAACTTCACAGAACGCCTCGCCATGTACCACAAAATGTCCCTCGGGGGGCCGAACCCCATCCCCGGCCAAAAGCAAGATCAACGTTCCCAATCCCCCAGCCCAGTCCGCCCAGGGCCCAGTCCCTAAACCCTAACCCGCTCGAAGCGGAAACGTGACCACCCGTCTTTCCCGCATGTCGCCTGAAGCGTGTATATCTATGGAACAAGGTGTACTATGGAACAAGGGGAATATCAACTTGCCTCCCGCCTTGAGCCCAGAAACCCAAAAGCAACGCGGTCAGGTCCAGCCTCCGAGCAACCAGCGACCCAGAATCTGATCAAACAAGTTTGTCTGGGACCATCAACTTCGGAAACGGTCAGGAAAAAGGAGCGCGCACGCCGTTTTTGTCAGATGTGGTCAGCCGTGAGAACTGGCGTTGGCAGCCGCTCGTCTCTTCCTCAGATTGGTGGGGCTCAGGTTGCCAGAGGAACATCGTGACCCCCAGAGAGGAACCCTCGATGTCTCTTCTCCAGCAGCACGAAGACAGATCCAAATCTTGAGCCATATGCCACTGGTCGGTCGCGAACGCTCCCCATCCAAATGGCATTTCCAACACTTGGCTAATCGCAGCTTGGCTACGCTAATGAGGGGTAACTAAGCTGGGTAATAACCTACAGTACTTGCCAAGTAGATCAAGCTAGTCCAGCTTTGGGCAGATTGAGTTGGCTCGCGGTTGGTTTAGGCTTGGGATAAGTTAAGTTTGCTTCGGGGAGGTAGGCTCAGGCAGATTCCAGCGTTGGTTTAGGCTGGGTTGGAGCCGCCAAAAGCCACCGAAAGCCCAAAAGCCACTGGAGCTATCAAAAACAAATGCAAGAAATGCAAGAAAAGAAAAAGGACAACGAGAGCGGCTTCCCAATTCGCATGTCCACTTTGCTTCCGTCCTCTGCTGCCATACTGACCTGGGCCGTTGGGCCGTGGCACGGAGTAAAGTGGGCGCAAGAGGCCTCGGCGGTGGCCTGGGCAGCCTGCTGAGGCGTCTCCACAATGACTTGGGAGTCTCAGGTCGGGCTTGTGACTCGCTTACATTGATGCACTTGTGACATGGTCATGCACTTGTCATACACTTGACACTTGTCATGTCATACCTGTCATACATGTCATACCTGTGTCTAGCGGATCCAAGCTTTCTTCGTTGCGTCCGAGCCTGGTGGTGCTGCCACCTTGCCATCGGACTGAGATGGAGTTGCATCCTGCCGAACAGGGCGTGCACTGGTCCGTCTCTCCTAAGATGCGCCTCAATGGAGTTGCTGTGCGGCTTCACATCTACAGATTTCTTTACCTGCACAATGCAGGAGCGCAGGAGCGCAGGAGTGCAGGAGTGCAGGAGTGCAGGAGTGCAGGAGTGCAGGAGTGCAGGAGTGCAGGAGTGCAGGAGTGCAGGAGTGCAGGAGTGCAGGAGTGCAGGAGTGCAGGAGTGCAGGAGTGCAGGAGTGCAGGAGTGCAGGAGTGCAGGAGTGGAGTGCAAGAGTCACTCAGGTCTAGTGCAAGCAGTTCAGTTCCTCCTCCATGGCGGTCTTGGCATCGCCATCCAAATCATTGACGGGCCTGGGGCGCAAGCTTCCAACCGCGAACGAAACGCACGACGACACGCACGACGACACGCACGAAAAGCAGCTATGTTCCTTAGTGCCCAGCAGAATTGTCACACTCAAGCTGGTGGCTCGCAACGTGAAACTAGCGCCTCGGCTTCAAGTTGACGTGAGAAGTTTAGGCATGCTCACACATCTGGGTGGACAGCCAACAGCTTCCAGCTGTGATCGAATCTGGGCATAAACAACGAACCTCCCGTCAAAGCAATCTGAACGGGCCTCGCCGGTCACCGTGTTGATATCTTGCTTGGATATTGTCTGAGCCACGCCTTAGAGGAGCGATGGAAACTCTCAGTGAGGCGGTGAGGGGGTGAGGGGGTGAGGGGGTGAGGGGGTGAGGGGGTGAGGGGGTGAGGGGGTGAGGGGCGGACTGGCTGCGCTCATGCCCGACAGAACCTGCACTTCGCACGTTCCATCGTCGAGAAATTGGCACGTATAGCACTGCACTTATCGCACTTACAAGTCTTGGTGCAGGGAGATGGATCAAAGTCGAAATCGGCCTCGATCAGGTAGGCCACATTGACATTTCCAGCTGCCTTCCTTCGCCAAGTGGCCAGCAGAATGGCCTTGGGGATTGTGATGTCCACCTGAAGGCACGGAGTCGAAGAGTCGAGGCGAATGAGCTGGAGAGCCGACCTTGACCAAGGAACTGCTTTCCAAGCCAGCTAGCTTTGCTACGGCCTGGACAAATTCAGATCCGGTCGCCAGTCGGTTGAATTCCGCATTCGGTGCCTTCTGCATGGCCACTTTCACTGCTGGAACAGAGACAAACTTGTCTGCATCGCTCACGTCCAAAGACAGGTCACCTGTGACATTGGACGCAAGCAGGTCATGACACAGCATACGCAGCACATTGAGGGCCATGCCACCCACTTCTGCTTCCACAGCTTTTTCGTCCTCGCAGGCTCTGTGTTCTCTCTCGTTGCAATAGCCTCAAAAGCTTTGGCCTGCCCCTTGGTGGTCAGAAAAGGCACCTAGGCAATTGGAGCAATGTGCACAATGATCACAATGCTTGTGCATTTCAAACATCCTGCGGAAGCCATCCCCGTCACAAGGCACATATTCAACGGACTATCCGGTGCCACAAGGCCGCCGCAGTGAAGTTTTTGGAGGACTCCTGTGAGAGTCTAGGGCCAAACTCTCACAGCATCCATCAAGGCCGGTGCCGTCATTGGTGCAGCAGCAGCGGCTGCCGACAAATTCCTACGTGCAACTCGTGCAACATGTCATTTGAAGCCACAATCGACATCGACTGGTGTCTCGCAGCTGTCGCGGACCTGATGAGCTCCAGGTCCGGCGTCTGAAAGGAAAGTGTGAAAAGACGCACAATGCAAGAGCAAAGCTGCAAAATGCTGCAAGATGCAAGCGACGGCCTGGTTGCCAAGAAGTTTCTTGGCTCTCTCCCCGAGGTAGTTGTCAAGCTCAGCGGGGGAAGCTTGCAGGGCCTGCTCCGCCTCATTTCGAACCGCCTCGACGTCTGACGCCCTTTGCTTTCGCTTCAAATTTGCAGCCGGAGCTGCCGTGTTAACCTGAGAGCGAGGTCGAGAGCACGAACGAGTCAAACCAAGCCAAGCCATCAGCCTCCACAGGACTGGACTGTGCCTCACAACATGACAGGCTCACATCGCATCGGCTCCAAATAGCCCATGTTCACGGCATGATCCCGCCATCCAGGCCTTGAGATCAGCAATCACCTTACGAGAAATTGGAATGTTCCAAGGTCACTCTTGCATCCTTCCGTCGCTCCGTCCTTCCATCCTTTCTGCATTCCCTGGCATTCCCTGGCATTCCCTGCCATTCCCTGGCATTCCCTGGCATTCCCTGGCATTCTCTGAGTTACTCAGCCTTCCTTCGTTCCCGCCGAGCCGCATCTTCCAGGCCCTTCTTCAGCGCCGCACCTCACCCAGCGCGCCAACAGCACAGCTTGCACACCTGCGAAGCCTGGGGAGCCTGGGGAGCCTGCTGGACTTTTCAGCGGCGGCCTTGATCTTGTCTTCATCACAGGGCATGGAAGGCAAACCTGAAGATGGAACCAGACGGAACCAGATGGAACCAGATCCCATGCCTTGTGACAATCTGAGAGCTTGACCGCTGGTGGTGGAGGTGGTGGGAAAGTCATGTGGATCCTACGCTAAAGCCCAAGGCCTACAAGTCACTCACGCACATCGCACCTTCACTGCACTGAAATTCTTCATGAGGTCACTTGGAAGCGGGATTTCCTGCCAGGCGGATCCGGCGGATCCGGCGGATCCGGCGGATCCGGATCCAACGGATCTGATAAGAAGCACCATGCGGTCATGTTGTTTGCCGTGCGCATTTGGGTCGAAAGGGCCAGCTCCATCACGATCTCCCCAACCATCCTACGGACGTTAGAATCGAAGCACGAAGCAACGACATGAGGACTTCGGAGAGAATGTCATCTGGGGCCCTTGCCAGGGAGGTACTTGTGGATGTTGTCGATACTGTGCTGAGCATGGGGCCTCAAATTCAGCGTGCGAGCCAGTCCTGTCCTCGAGGCTTTCAACAAGTCACACCTACAACACAGCTCAATGGCGAGCATGGGCAAGCAACTAGACCTTACTAGCACGTTATAATACATTTCGCGCGCTGCACGCTACTACTACACCCTCAACAAAAACATGTTTGGCAAGTAGGCAGCTCTCACGAGTTGCACAACCGGTGCTTAAGGTGCCTCCCGCGGTCAACGCTAAGAAATTAAGCCCTGGATGTCTTAGCGGGCACTTCCCTGATGGTCAAACATGGAGCCTTTTTGGGAACCCTCTCTGCTAAGAAATTGAGCCCCTGGATTTCTTTAAGATGTGTAGACGGAGCGTTGAATCCTGAGACAACGTGCAAAAGGACGAGACAACCGGCTCCACAGGAAAGCCTAAACTGTAGAGTCTATTGCAAAGTCACTTGCCCTGTGAGAGCAGAATGGCAGTTGTCTGCTTCCGTGTTGGCCGTCAAGGCTCATCAATATCAGCAAGCAACAACTCCCAGCTCACGTGTTTCTCCAGCATAACTCTCAGTCATGTCAACAGTTCTCCTCGAAGCACATTACCCACTCTCAAATGTTGGTTTTTGCACTCTCACCCAACTTGTTTTGTTGATCCCTGACAACTTCCTCGTCAAAGGCTCAGAAGCGTCACCACTTCTGGGAAATGACTCTCATGCTGGCACTAGTGCGGCACATACTGATTGCAGGCTTGCTGCAAGACACCAGCAGCGAACAAGCAAACAAGCCAGTACATAGCGAAGCTTGCCTCGCACAGTGTGTCACAGTGACGTTTGCAAGGCAGTGCCCAAAAGACCAGGGTGCTCTACCCTCCACAAGCACAGGAGTTCCTCCATGTTCCTTTTAAAACCTCCAAAGCGGCAGTTTCAATGGAAAGCCTCGAAGATACCAGGAATCAAGATACATTGATTAAATTGACATATGTCCTATGTATCCTATGCCGAATCCCATGCCAATCCGGTGCATGTCCGGGTCGGATTCCCTTAAAGCGTTGGGCTCATCCAGCTGAAGCAGTGCTCTTGCGCATCAGATCTAGAAATACACGTTGGAAGCCTTTGAAGGAGCACTTTTCAGCAAATGTCCATATCCAAGTTGATCAGCCGGTCGAACGGTGTTGATGTTTTGATGGTTCAATGAAGGCCCAAAGGCAATCAGTGAGGTGAGGGGGACACTTTTTGCGAACATCTGGAAGACGCCCACTTTCTATGGAACGGCCGGGCAAAGGTGAGTCCTAAAGATTCCCGGGAGGCGATGCCGAAATCAGGCAAGGCAATGAGGCAACAGAAGCGGGATAGCGAGGGCGACCCACCTGCCGGACCTCGAGGGATGTCCGCTAGGCCAAGAAGTTCATACGGGAACACGGGGGAAAAGACATACAGGAGGTCAGGTCAGGCAAGTTCTGAGCAGAAGCCCCGACCGAAGTGTGAGGCTGAAGTGCGTTGAGAGCCCCCCAAAGACGTACGGCTCGAAGGAAGTCGGCGAGCGTGGAGCGTAGGCTGAGAGGAACTCAGGTGGAACATGCAGAAGGATCGGAGATGGCGTAAGGGGAAGTAAGGGGAAGCAAGGGGAAGTTGGAGAAGGTGCGTTGAATTGGTCGAAGTGGGCCATGAGGCCTGTGGAAACCTTGCTAAAGCCGAAACTTCAGGCCCAGACAACCAGGCGTCTCGTTCGCAGTACCACACTGGCCAGTGTGAATCATGGCCTCCTCGCAGGGCCTGCAAGCGCTCGCATAGATTGGAAGCAACTCCCAGCTGGCCGCCTGCCACCGTACAGCTCCGCAGACTTCACCTCAGAGGAAGGGCAAAAAATACATGCATTGCGTCGTGTGCAGGACATGCAGCATTGCATCGGATGCATCACGTTGCTCTCTTGATGCCCCGGCTCGGGTACGGAAGCGCTGGCCAACACCGCAACTTGTGGAGCAATCGCCCCACTGCTCCCACCTCGAGGTCAAGCTATAGCTCCCAACCCTCGCAATGATCGATGCTCTATGAGACAGATTTGGGCCCCAGCAAGCCAAAGGTGCAATCCACCGGACAGGGTTCTGAGTTGCAGAAATCCTTCTCGGTGGTGTTCCCTGCCTGGAATGCTTTGCGATGCTTTGCGATGCTCTGCGATGCTCTGCGATGCTCTGCGATGCTTTGCGATGAGCCAATCCAGCCGAGATGCGCATGGGACTCCACCGCTGTGCTCCTGCTGCCTGAGGCAGTTTCAGTTGGGTTCGCACGAGGGCGGTTTCCCAGGCGCACTTCTTGCGGCGCGTCTTGATGCGCACGCCACCGTCGCAGGTCACTGGGCAGGCACTCCAGTCCTGGGGCAAAGGGCAAGATCTCGCGGTCTTGAGGCTCAGGCTGAGGCCGTCGCACTCCACTCGTCCCATTCACACTGCACGGGGCCTAAGGCACTTGCGAGACTTGCATGCCGGGAAGCTCGAAATCACACATGAGCAGTCTAGTTGGCTGCGATCCAAGCTCCCGGACATTCCATCATGTTGCAGTCAGCTTCTTGCTCAGAGGAGCCCTCGCATGCCTCCCCACCGTTCTTCCTGACAGCTGGTAAACAGAAGAACAGAATCATGAAACATCTGCCCGTCCTCGGAACCGAGACATCACGGAATCTCTTGATCTTTCCACCGCCGCAATTCTTCGAGCAAGCGGTCCTTGAAGCATGTCACATGAACATGTACAACCATCACATTGCAGACCTACTTCTACAGTTTTGCATCAACTCTGAGACAATGCTATCTTGAAATAGATGTTGTGGAAGACTTTGACCAATTCTGCTGGATCTCAAGTCTTCATTCTGACTTCTTTAGCTTCAGCTCTTGCTTCAGACTTGCGCTTTCACGCCGTCGCACTCACGTCTGAGGGCGGCACCACTTGGTCCACTCGCTCCACTGACAGTCCCTGGGGCCTCATTGCCAACTGGCTCGACCCAATCCGATCCCCGAGAATCCCCGAGACCTGAGGCTGGTACAGCCCTGGGTGTTGCAGAAGCTAGAATCATCTCCATCACCAGTGCAAGGCCGACCGCCGTTGGACTGACAGAGTCAATGCCGTAACTCCCTGTGACTCGTCTCCCATTTGACTCAATGTAGCTCAATGTAACTCAATGCCTTGCCCTGAGTGCACTACGTGCCCCAAGGTCTCAATCACTTTCCCCCAATGTTCACCCAGCGCTTTGCCCTGCCTCTGCCGGAGACTTCACCCTGGTCCGGCTCATCGTCCCACCATCGCAAGACTTCGAGCACGAGGAGAACTTGTTCCAACCTCAACGGGTTCAAAACATAGAAAAGTAGAAAAGCTTGGGTGCGGCAGTGCCGATTCTCAGCAGTGCGCTGGACCACTGGCAGTCTACCGGGCAAGGGTGCTCATTGCAGCCCTCCTGTAGGCTAGCGCAAACAAAAGGGCCTCTGAACGGGAAAACTCCAAAACTCCCCAGACATGCGGAAGTTGCATCGCTTGGCATCGCATGGCATCGCTGTGGCAACAGCCCCCTCCGACTTCTCGTTTGCTGGGCCGCCCTCGTCCGTCTCACACTCCAAGCCACCTGAGTTCCAGAGGGCAAAGCGAGTGAAAGAATCTTAGAACGAGCTTAAGAACCAAACCCCACTGTGGCGCTACCTCCACCACTCGACTCTGAGTCCTCAAGACTCTCGAGTCCGGCGCACGCGAAGTTGGCGCAATTGCGTCAAAGGCAATTCGAACGATTCGTTCAATTCATTCCGATCATTCAATGTCCAGTGTGTGGCTCCTTGTGCCGCTGCCACAGGATGCGGAGCAGCCAGCCCAGTCGCTCCATGGCCTGAGCAGCGAAGCGGATTCAAAAACCAAACGAAGCTGAAGGACTAAGCCCCAAGCACCCACTTGCAATCGACGGGGCAGCCTCTCATTCTGAAGCAATCTTGGTTCTGTCAGCGTTCGTACTCAAACCGAGCAGCCTTCCACATTACACACTCCGTCTTCGTCGGCAGCACCCACGCAAGCTTTGCCGCCATGCGCTGAGGCCACCTGTCAAGGTCAAAGCTGTGAAGGGTCACACAGCACATTGAACACACAAATCGCGATGTGTGCCACATGCGTGTGCAAACCATACCAGGACAAACAAAAGTTCACAGAGACAGAGCATACAGGATCGAAACCGGGTGGGTATGTCTTCGTCCGTTGTAGCTGCTTCAGCCGTTTCAGCCGTTTCCAAGACAGGAAATGATTAAGGTTCCCGAATGTTCTATCTTAAAAGGATTCTCATCTCACTCTGTCAGCGGGCAGTCTCCTGCGGTCGCTTCCGACCCGGAGCCCTCTAGACTCCGGGCAACACTTGGCAACAAGATGCGCATCATTGTCAGCCGCCCACACAGACACGCAAATAACATACAAGGAAATGTATACACACACTCAAGCAGGCCACACGTGCAGTAGCCAAAGCCAAAACGGCAACCACGACCTGTGCGTGGTCATGGTGGATCCAAGCATATCTCTTGCTCACTGAGAAAGAAAAACCTGTACTCCTCGCCAAGCACACTTTGGGCAGGAAAGAAGCCCGACTCTGCGACCAAGAGCTCAAGACTGCGCTGCCATAGAAAAACAGCACGAGACCAAGGAGATACCTCTGCAGACCGTGTGACAGCCGCGGGGCCGCAGAACACCTACCAAAGGGCATGCCGTTCAGATAAAATCCCCTCCGACCACTTCAACCATAACCAACTGGGGCACGGCACCTCAACCAATTTTATCACCTAAATCCCTAAATCCCAAATTCCCAAATCCCAAATTCCCAAAATATAATTTTCCAAAATCCCAAATCCCAAATTCCCAAAATATAATTTTCCAAATTCCCAAAATATAAAATCCCATAATTTCAAAACATAAATCTTACAATGTTTTTTGTTGTAAGGTTTATGGGGATGCCCTATTCCTGAATATCACCTCGCCCCGCTCACGTGCCCGCACCCGCTTCTTCCTGAACATCAACTTCCGCATCCACCTGCTCTCCAAGTTTATCTTCAAGCAGTGCCCTATGGGTTTGAGTGGGTCTGGGTTTTCCTTCTGGATTTCAGCAAATTGCAGTTGTGACGTTGGTGGGTGCTCCATCATTATTTTTGCCATGTATGTTTCGGCTCAAAAGATTTCTTCACCTTTTGCATCTTTGCTGTGAGTGACAATGGTGCGTGTGACAGTGTTCGTTCAGGGGCAGGATGTCGCAAGGTGGTCAATGAGTTTGAACCCGATGTTGGTTGCCCCAGTCCTTCGGTGCGCCAGTTGAAGATGTTCATGAAGGATTGGGTGTCAACAAATGTGCCAGATACCCGTGGCATTTGTGAGTATGGCGAGTTGTCTGTGAAGCGCAAGGGTGGCGAGTTTGACTTTCCTGATGATTTTACCCTTGCTGTGAGGGAAAGTGTGGAGGTCACCTACACTGATTTGACAACAATGCTTGGGCGTGCCATTCAGTCACATCCTAATATTCGCCAGATGGAGCAAGAGTTTCAAGAGGCACTTGCATCAGGCAACATCCCACGTCCAGATGCTTCACCGGTTCCTGATGTCTCTGCATCATCTTCATCTTGCACGATTGTGCCTACAACCAACATCTTTGTCCCTTTTGTTGGACAGGGGTTCAAGATTGGCGGTGATGATGCAGAAGCAGTTGAAGTGGAGGAGGAGGATGGTGGAGAGCAAAGAGGAGGAGGATGGTGTTGAGAGCGAAGAGGAGGAGGAAGAGGAGGAACCGCAGACCTTGGTGCTTTGCAAGAAGAACCAACACTCGGTGGATGTGGTCAGCATCAAGATGAAGAATGTGACCTACATTTACTATTTCGCCAAGTCCTCCACCTTTCAGAAGATTTGCGATACCATAAGCAAGAAGTTTGGTGTCAGCGCTGGATGCATCGGCACCTCCGGTTCCTATGACTTCAACCTTTGTCACCAAGGGTCAATCCTCACATCCTATGAGACAATTGGAAGTTTTGTGGAGGGGAAGGATGAAACTTTCAAGGTCTACACCTTGGTGCCCCGAATGCTTGGCGGAGGCAAGGGCAGTGGTGGCACCAATTCTACAGTCATCCGGAGAATGATGAAGGACAAGTCAAGCAAGAAGGTGATGCTGAAGAACCACGCCACCAAGACATTCAGTGAAATCAATGCAATGCAGTATCAGAGCAGTGTGTTGATAGATGCGCAGAAGTTCCTTCGTTTGCTGAATGATGTTGATGAGAGTGGCAGTGAGAAGACTTTTCGTCAAGCAGAGCAGATGCTTGATGAAGACGGTGTGAAAAAGGTGATTGCAATATTTGACTCAAAGAACAAGCAGTCCTATGGGAGCACAGAGGAAAAGGTTGAAGCATTTTTGAACCTTGCGCTCAAGCAACGCCTTGAACCACTTGATGCACTTGCCCAGCAAATCAATGAAATGAAGGCAGGGATGTTCTCGCGCCTTTTGGTGCTCTATGGCAACCTCTGTGTCACGAAGTCTGACCGCTACAACAACACGCCCTTTGTAAATCTCCTAATTGCCCATCAGCGTCAGTTGTCTTCAAAAGACAAAGATGACGAGAGCATGTGTGATTTGACTGAGATGATGTCATCTGCCAAAATCTGACCTTCAGGTGTCAGACATCCGATTTTCAGCACGGCGTCTGATTGGTTCTCATTAGACCTTCAAAATAACCATGTTAGAAGACGGCCATTTCAGCGGATGTGCTGAGACATTTCAGCAGATTTGCAGAAACTATTTCAGCAGATTTGCAGAAACTATTTCAGAAGGTTTGTTGAAACACTTTTTACATCAACCAGAGGGCAAATGATTACCAATCATCGTCCTTGTCGCTCTGTGGCACTTTGCCTATCCGAATGTGCAGTTGCATGAACCTGCATTGAGTGAGAGAAAAAATGGTTTTGGTTGGGAGCAGGTGGAAAGGGATTATTCAAGGTTGAAGGCAGGTAACGTTGAGGACTGTCAACCACCCCCTGTTTTTGTTTTTACCCCTTCACCATTTTGGTAGTTCCCGCATCTTTGTGCCCGCAGGTATCTTCATCATGGACTTTATCTACAAGACTTTCCTCTACGAGGTATGGGCGGGAGGAGTTGGGAGGGTTTCTTCTTATATTTCAATATAATATATAAGGGGGAAACACTCGCCAATTTTTTGTTGCCCTGTTTGGTGATTGGTGGGAGTTTCCTGATAGTTTCATATATAATTGTGTGTTGTATTTATCTTATAAACTATGGATTGCCCCCTTAAAATTAATAATTTTAAATTTCATAAATTTTACTGTGTTGTCGTTGGATGAACCTGGAAATGTCAAATTTCAACCACAACCCCAAACTCGTTTCTTTAATCCACCAAACTCGTCAAAATCTTACAAATCAATTCAGCAGGTATTTTGTATAAATCTTCCTGTTTATGCTTTACATAATCCTCGCCCCAATTTTCCTTGTTTCCATTTGGCAAACGTTGCGCAGTTTCAATATGTTTATTATTCCTTATTTTCCACAGTCCTTTTTGCATAAATCTCTAGGTGTCCAATTCGTCGTGTTATTCCAAAGTCTAGTTTGTTTCCTATAGTTAAATCCATATTTGCAATAATCAACATCTTTAAAATCAAACTCATTCATAAACTCCTGGTTTTTTCATAATCCAATGTGAGGATTTTCGATTACAAAATTCTTAGGATTAAAATATTTGATAATCTCAATAGTTTTTAAGACAATACTATTTGCATATTCAATATTCCTAATTCCTGTCGTTTTTGCTCTGCTGTATTCGGTGCACGGGGGGCTGCTCCAAATAAAATAAAAATGGTTTCTGTCAAATTGTTTATAATCCCATTCCAAAATATCACAATTAATATCAGCATTTTTCAAGTCTAATGAGATTACATTAACACTTAAATCACGTGCAACTTTACCAACAGAACCACTGCCTGAAAATAATTCGAATAATTTCATTTTTTAGAATGATTTAGATATCTATTATATGCATTCGTATTTTCCTTCTTCGTTCTTAAACAGTTTATAAAATTCAATAATTTCTGGCTTTGGAGGTTTAATTTTGTTCTTATTTAACATATCCATATATTGCTTTTGCTTATCTTGAAAACTGCCAGACGGACGCCCTAGTTGTTTCTTTTCAGAGATTTTATCAATCTGTTCCTTCTCTTAATTGTTATTGTTTGGTTCGTTTGCCTTTGCATCAAGTTTCTGGTCAATAGTTTTCATCATCTCATACAACAGTTTAACATATTTACTAACCGTCATTACCTTCTTTGATAGTTCAGCAATAGCATCATTCTCAACTTCAGACATTTCTGTATATATTTATTTATATAATTACTTAAGTATTTATTTATAAAATTGATTTAGTGTAAAATCTACTCTTTAAAAAATATTTCTTCAGCATTTCACGTATAGTTTCCTGTGCTTCGTTATCGCCATTATCGGATGGTGATGCATGCCTTCCCATTTGATAGCAATATTATGAGCATCTGTTTCTAAGTTGATACTGTCTTTCGTTTTATCAATGTTCATTTTCTTATCATGTTTACTTATTTCGAAATTTGTCGGAATAACGAACATTTACAATTTCCTTTCTTTTGTATTTCTATTTCATTTTTCATTTCTAACATCTTTTTACACATAGGACAAGCAAATTCAATAGCTGATGTTTCTTTAACAATTTCTTCTTTTTCATCTGTTGAAGAAGCACTTAAACCTGTCTTATTCTTTTTATGTTCCTTTTTGCCCATTTATATTAGTATCTACATTTTTCTTTTTGATATATTGCATTCCTAACTTAATTATTTCTAGTGAATAATAACAACATCTTTTACTTTTATTGTCAGTCATTGTTACTTGTTCTATATTTCTACTTTATCTATTATATCAATATAACCTGAATAACTCCTATTCACATAAATAATAAGATGAAATAATTATTTAAATAACTATTTGATCTTATTATTTTCATGCATGATAGAATATTCGGGGCTCAGCACTTGGGCTTTCACTGCAA